AATCTAAAATAACATCAATTTTATCTTTGTATGGTGCGACAGGTGGAGTCGGAGTAGGGATAACATGTTCTGGATGAGGGTCCACAGATGGAGGTGTGAAAGTATCATCAGTTGGGGGTGAAATTGGCCTTTGTTAGCAATTAAGTCCTCATGATTGAAGATAAAGTGGTAGCCAAAATGTGATGGTAAATCAATGATATATGCATTTGGATCAACACGTTTTAAAATTTTAAAAGGACTAACACTACAAGCTTGCAACTTGGAAGCTGGTCCAAATGGAAGCCGTTTTTGTCTAATTCAAATTATAACGTAATCCCAACATTAATTTCAACATGGTATTTGTGCAAATCAGTTTGAAATTTATATGATGCATTACTTGTTTCCACTTGTCTATTGATCTTAATACGCAAGTCATGAAAATGTTTTATATGGGTTTGGTGCAATCCCTCAATTAGGTTTATTATTTTGTTATTTATATGGTTGTAATGGGATTCAAAATTAGTTAATGAATGAGATTATTCACGTTGGCTTCTTGTTGCCCACTTTCCTCCCTTATTTTCCCCCATTCTCTCCCTACGTGCTCCCTCTTCCACTTCTCTCCTTTTGCTTCTGTATTCCGCTTCTTCTTCTTGATTGATTCTACATCAATCAGGTTTTGGGATATAGATGTCTATATCAGCCATTCTGTATTTTAAGAATTGAGAATATTAATTTAGTGAAGAAGTATATGTTAAAAGTTGTTTCAAAATGTTGATTTTGATCAACTTCGACCAATTAGTAAGCTAGACATGTAGATGGTCATGGGATTTTGAAAGCCAAGTGTGTTTTACTCCTTGAGTAAATTACTATAGTTTGCCGAATCAATTTCATGTGAATGAGAAATTGTGGTCGAAATTGAGAAATTTACCACATGGAAATTGTTGTGGATTGTATTGGCGTGATTTTTATCATGTGATGGAATATTCTAGAATATGTTTGAATGAAAATATGTTTCTTTTCATATAAAAAATCATGTCTTTTGGACAAAATTTGTCCAAAAAGGACATATCTTCTTCCATTAGATGTGTCTTTTCCAAGAGTTGTCTCTTTAACATAATGTTTCGACATCTATATATAGGCTCCCATTTTCAGAATTCATGCAATTTGCTTCATTCGTGCACTATGATATTACTGCATATGTACTTCGAATTTTGCATTTATTTTGACCAATTTTATACAAAGAGAGTTCTAAACATTACTAGATTCGTTGGTCTACGTAATTTGAAGTCTCCAATTGAAGGAAGTGGTCCTTTTCTTGATAGACAAGTGTCGAAAAATTAAAAAAAGATTGGAAATCTTGCTTCGACTAAAATCTCGTTTTCTGCAATTCTTGTTTCTACATTTCATGGTTTTAGTAAATCAAAATTTCAGTCATTTTTTTAGCATATAAAAGGTTGTCGGAATATAATATATGCATCCATTTTTCAAATATTTATGCTGTTCTCTATATTTTCATTCATTGGTGCATTATGTTGAGAGTGTATTTCTGCTTTGGTACGTCTTTTATTACGTTAGCAGCGCAAGTATGTGGTTCATGTTAAAAAAGTTACACAAACAAATCATCATTAGAGTTGCATTGTAAGTCAAGCATAATTAATAATTGCATTCCACTCTTGCCAATTGCATAGTTGTATAAAGTCTCCGCATGTTATGCTTTGATGGAATAACTGCTTGCACATGTTAAGTTGTATGCAATAAATCATTTTGCATTGCGTGCTATTACTTAACATAAATTAGGAAAAAGATGGATGGACAGGACCACGTTGGCCATGTGCGCCACCTGGATGGATAGGTTGGCCCTATCCGTATAACGGAGCTCCATAAATTATCTCCCAAATACAGAATGCTTTAAAAAATAAGTTCACATACTGTAAACACTTTTGCATTTGAAGTTTAGTGCTCGTGTCTTGAATATATTTTCAACTATCATTCCCAACCATTATGCATATTGGGAGCACTTGCATAGTTTCTGGATAAAACTAAAATCTGTGTTCCGGTGGCTTTAAAGGATTTATTTGTGCCACAATCAGTTCGTTGTTAAATTTAGAATAGATTTAGGGATAGTGGCAGCAATTATTGTGTTACTAAAGTTGACATACTCTCCTATTTTTGTTCTCTTCACGGATGGTCCAGTTATGCCCATATAGGTGTCTTCAGTTTTAAGAAATACCAATTTGTATGATTGCAATAGTGTTGACAATGAAAGTCACTTTTATTGACTTTGGGGATTATTTTTTTTATTTTTTTTGCATTAAATAGCTAAATATTAAAAAATTTCGTGAATTTTTTCATTGGCCGCCAAGTACACAGAAGATACAGCCAATCCTTCTCTGTTTTTGTTGAAATTTTGTTGCGTAATTTGCAGTTTTTGTTGAAATTTTAGTGTGTAATATCAATTTAAATAGAAGATGAAACTGACGAAAAATGCGTACAATTTGTAGAGAAGAATTTAAAGTAGTGAGTTATCTGCTAAATATAGTAGAGAGAAAAAAATAGTGAATAGAGTGGGTTAGGGCATGTACAGTAGGAGATCACTTGTAAAATGATGCCACTTCTATTAAAATGTTTTTAGACTTGAATCCTTTTAAACCCTTAGAGTTGTTTGCAACAAAATGAACACGATTGTGAGAATCGAAAGTGTTAGATAGGTATCGTGCGGGGTAATATTTTCTAAGTTTGCAGGAACGACTCAACATTCAAGATGTTGCGATTAATGATTAACCAAGTTAATCCATTAGTATTCTACCAAGGCATGTTCAAAGCCAAAAGCTACATATCTTGATGCAATAGTTTATCGTTTGGATCTTTTTGGTGTATGCAACAACGTCTTTTGCATTAATTTTTGATTGTTAGAAATTGGTTCAAAATGTTTGTTTTGACCAACTGGTTAAGTGAGGCCCATTTGTCAATTACGGGAGCTCGAAGATTGAATGTGTTATACTCCTCAAGTAGATTATTATAGTTTCTTGAACCAATTTTTGGAGAATAAGAAATTAAGTTCGAAAGTGAAATGCTTAACACGAGAAATAAGTGTAGGAAATTGTATTAGCTTAGCGTGATAGCATGTTTTATAATGACTGTTGATGTATAACGGAATATTGTATAACATGTCTAATTAAAAAAAGTTGTTTATTTTAAAATGAAAAATCATGTTTTATGGACAAAATTCATCTAGAAAGGTATTCCATGTAGTTGTTTCATTTCCAAGAGCTATGTCGACATCTACGTATAGCCCAAAAAAATAAAAATAAAAATAAAAATTTGCAGAATTTATACAATTCACTTCATTGATGCACTATCATATTATAGCATATTCATTTCAAAATATTTCTGAATTTATTTTGAATCAGATTTCATGCAAAGAGAGTTCTAAACATTAGTACTTTAATTGGTCTATATAATTTGAAGAGCTCCTATTGTGAGACATGATCATTATATTTGGAAGATGAGCGCCAAAAAAACTGTTAGCACGTATGCAATATAAGCGGTGCATTATATTCTTAAGAATAAAGAGCCGAACCCTTGCATCTGCATCGATTCTTTCTACATTTCATGATTTAATTTAGTGAAAATTCTGTTCGATTTTACTAGCATGTAAAATATTAGGGTGCGGTTGGTTTCCATTTTCATTTTCCAAACGATTTTTAGTTTTCCCCGAAAATGGCCCGTTTTCCGCGTTTTAAGCGTTTTCGACATTTATAACTGAAAACGCTAAAAACGATAAAAAATCGTTTTACGTCTTCAGTTATAAATTTTAACTTGTCTTCGAAAATGCGTTTTCGAAAACGACGGATCAAACTCGTTTTCCAAAACGGAAAATGAGAAATGGGCCAAAAACTACAAACCAACCACGACCTTAGTTTTCGATATATTATTTATGCAACGATTTTTATACCAACACAGCCTTCTCGGGGTCTTTAAAACTTTTTGTCAACTTGAGAAACTAAAAAATCAGGTGCAGTGTCAAATGTTGCGGCCTGTGCCGTGTGCACCAGATAAATCAAATAATTTCTTTAATATCCGTCAATGACGGTGCGGTGGGAGATGGGAGAATTGATTTTTTAATACTATTACGAAAGATAAGTTGTATTCTACGTCTAAATTGACTATTGCTACAAAGAAGGTAAAACACGTAGTTAACCTTCCCCTTTGAAAAGCATTATCCTTTCCATAAATTTATTTAGTCAGAGAATAGAAGTAATTGACCAAGGAAGGTTCCATTTGAAAAGTCCAAGAAAAGCCATTTCAATCTTATTATTTTCGAGCTAGATTGACCAGCTTCTTGATAAATAGGTTGAAATAATGCTACGTGATATTTCATAATTGGACTATTTTAAACATAGTCATCATATCTATCCAATCATTTTCATCCATCTACACATTTGTCAAGAAGAATGTCAAGAAACCTGTGGCAAAGTAGAATAATAATGAATTAAGCTAGATGTACATTGTGTTTTACATCTTGTTTGACATTGTCCCTTATGTGGAAGAAATCTGTGCAATGATGTGATAGATGAATTCAAAATCAATCACTTTGATTAATCCATGTGGAAGAGTCTCAACCAAGGTGTGAACGAGAGTGTATATATAGCATGGTTGTTCTTTTTATTAATGACCTCCAACTGCAATGATGGAACTTCTTTTAAAAGCCTTGATAGAGAAAGAATTTACTGGTTCAACCGACATTTATTTACTTTGCCCATGAGGGTGGGATTACTCTCCCAAATCGTTGTCTTTTTCCTTCATTGATGAAGTGTGATAATAATAGTATAAAAGGCCCAAAGAAGCCTCATTCCGAAACATCATTGGAGGAGAAACATATATTATAGTTTTTTCTCACATTATTGATTAGAGTGATCTTTGTTTAGTTCGTTGTTGATACAGGCAACTTACTTCGAATGATAAAAACAATTTCTTCAGAAATAGAGTTTTGATTCTTTCGAGCAAAATCCACTTTTCACATGGCCTTTGCAGTTTCAAGTAAAATTATTTTTTTCCTGCTCTTGTTTTTGTTTCTACTTGCAGCCACAGCCCAGCGTTACGGGAATGTTACTCTGGGTTCATCAATAACTGCAAACAAAGCAAATTCCAGTTGGGTGTCACATTCTGGAGAATTTGCTTTTGGCTTCCAGCAGATCATTCCAGGGGGCTACTTACTGGGCATCTGGTTCAACAAAATACCTGAAAGAACCGTTGTTTGGTCTGCCAATCGTGATAATCTCGTCCAAGAAGGATCAAAAGTTCAACTATATGCAGATGGAAAGTTTGAACTGACTGATCCTAGTGGCCATCGGATATGGGCCACTACGATGTCTCATGATCGAGTGGCCTATGGAGCCATGCTTGACACCGGTAATTTTGTGTTAGCTAACAAGAATTCAGTTGTTTTGTGGCAGAGTTTCGATGAGCCAACTGATACATTATTACCAACACAGACACTGAATAAAGATGGGAAACTTGTTTCCAGCTTTTCTAAAACAAATTATTCAAGAGGGAGATTCCTCTTCACATTACAAAATGATGGAAATCTTGTCTCTTACACCAGAAATTTCCCCTTGGACGACGTGATTTTTGCTTATTGGTCAACACAAACTGTTGGTAGTGGCTTCAAGCTGATCTTCAACCGGGTTGGTTACATCTTTCTGGTAGCTGAAAATGGAACTATACTCAATTATTTGTCTTCAAACAAGGCCTTGACTAGTGAATTTTACCAGAGAGCAATATTGGATTATGACGGGGTTTTCAGGCATTATGTCTACCCTAAGTCTTCCAAATCATCAGGCTCAAGAGCAATGGCGTGGTCTACTATAAATTTCATACCTACGAATATATGCTTGCGCATAACACAAGATACTGGCAGTGGTGCCTGTGGTTTTAACAGTATCTGCTCTTTTGGAACTGATCAAATTCCAAAGTGTGACTGCCCTTTTGGTTACTCTATCATAGATCCAAATGATAGGATGAGTGGATGCAAACCGAATTTCGCTACACAAAAATGTGATGGAGAGGCACGTGGAATGAACCATTTTAGATTCACTGATATGCCCAACACAGATTGGCCTCTCTCCGATTATGCATACTTTCGGGTAGTAACAGAAGATTGGTGTCGACAGAATTGCCTTGATGATTGTTTTTGTGCTGTTGCAATTTATAGAGACGGTAAGTGCTGGAAGAAGAAATATCCTCTCTCCAATGGGAGAGTCGATTCTAGCGTAGGAGGAAAAGCTATGATAAAAATAAGGTATAACAACGGAACTGCATATTAGGGTATGTATCTTGAGAATGGGTATGTATCTTGAGAATGTTTTTTCGTAGCTCATGATGTTTTAATTAGTAATACTTTGTAAGAATATGTTATTGTAAGTTGTACTCTAAAGTTGTTAAGTATGAAAAGACATAATTTATAACGTGATAGTTTTGTTTGGGTATTAGTAAATGAGGTTGAACATTTTATTTTGAAAAAAATTGTATTGTTCAAACTTGAGTTTGTCTAAAACTAATTGAATTGGGACTATTTGAAATCTTAATTATGAACATGTAAAATAAAATATCACTTGCATAGAAAGAGTGACCTTAGTCTTGAGCGAGTAATGAAACTTTGATTGCTAGTTTGAATTCTTGAGGTGCCAATGAGTTATATCGAATTCATATGATTAATATCTTATCTAGAAATTGAAAAGACATATATAATTAAGTAATATATTTTGTAATATGAAATCTATTACTCATTTTTTGGGATGCTTGTCACATTGAATGGTTTTCTTGTAAGCAATATAATCTAAGCTCACAAATTTGAGGACTTGATCGTGAATTATTCGTTTTGATGTGATTACACTATAAATTTCCTAATAAAAATGAGCCTTAGGAGCGTAATAAAAAAATTGGGGGGAATTGGTCTTTTTGCCGAACTCCAAATTACTTGATTAACTAGAGCTTCAACTTACTAAAATCGAATACGTAAAGAAGAAACATAAGCTGCACTATTTAACGAATTTTATTTATTTGATTGAATATTGGTTATATATTTTTTCTTTTGGTCACTTGAATTGATTAAAGTATTAAATACACTATAAATTTTTTAAGCATAAATATGAACTTTCTTGTGATAAGCAAAATATTAATAAAATAATTGTTTGAAATCAAATGGATGAAAATTATGAGCAAAATATTAATGAATAAATGTTTTTAAATATAAATCTACATTTTCTCGGATCAAGTATGAATCATTCAAAAATCAATAACAAAGTATTCGATTGTACAGAGTTTAATTGTGCCCCTCTAACTAAAAATTTTTGTGTCCGCTCTTGAGTACACATAGAGTGTGGTCCCTAAAGATTAGCATGCAAGTAATCAAGTATTACCTTGGATATATGAATGCCTACATCAAAAGGTAATTTCTTTTGCTTCTAATAACTGTAGTGTTCACAAAAAGATGACTTTTCAATTCTTCAGCACACAAAAAATGTTGTTTTTTTAAAACATGCAAATTCTTATCGCTTATATGTCCCAGACTTTTGTGTCATATTTAAGATTTATTAGGTTGCGAGACTATTGTAGCTAGTCATTTATCCACCAAGGATAAATATTTTAAAACATAAATCCCATTACTTTTATGGACCTAATTATTTTTTTCAAAATTTCTTTGACCGGTCAATGTCCCCTTATTGATGAAGGTCCCATAACCTTCATCATCGAGAGTACCTAAAGAGATTAAGTTTCTCTTTAAGTCAGGAACGTATTTTACTTTTTCTAAAATAAGTACATTTCCATTTATGAGTTTTAAAACAGTTCTTTAAATCCCTTTAATTTTGTAAGAGAAATCATTTCCCATGGTTACTTGTCATCCATTAATTTTCAAAATTCAGTAGAGTGTTCTTTACGGGGTATCATATGAAGTTACACCAAGAGTCAAGAATCCATTCATCTTTAACTAAAGATTTGCAAGTCATATAAACTTGTCTATTTGAGGCTACATCTTCTTCATAAGCTATTGCAGCTCTACTTTTAATTTTATCAGCATTTTTCAACTCTTCAATTTTTTTAAAAACAATCTTTTATGAAATGTCCCATATTTCAACAGAAAATAACATTTCTTTCCTTTGGCATTATTATTATCCTTATATGATTTGTATTTACCCTTTTCATATTTATTTGAAAATTATTTTCCTTTTCCTAAACTTTTATTTCAAAAGCTATTATTGTTTCCTTTTTGAAAATTATTTCCAATTATTGTCAAGGTAACTCCACAACATGATTTCTTCTAAAAACTCACTTTTAAATTCAAGATCTTTATTTCTTAAAAAGGAAACAATAACATCAACAGAAATGGAAGTTCTTCCATATCCGAGAAGATTTTTCAAATTTTTATACTTTTTAGTAAGGATGATAATAAGACCACATATTGTTGATTATCTGAGAGAGTCTAACCACTATTAGTGAGATCTTGAGACAATTTATTAAATATGTCCAAATTTATCTCAAGATCAGAGTTGTTATCAAATTTAAAGTTGAAAAATTGTTTCCACAAGTAACATTTGGAAGAGATTTAGTTTTGTAAAGGGATTCTAGTTTAACCCACAGTTCAGTAGTAGCCTCAATCTTTCGTACTTCTCTAATGATACTCGAATAAATGTAGAAATATAGTGCTCCAAGCACTTTGAGTTTGTTCAGTTTTTTTAGAATCAACAATTTCTTCACCTACGGTTTCATCAAGAGCTTTTGCACATCTTTGTTCAAAAGAATGCCTTTCATTTTTTTTAACTCCAGAGACTAAAATCTCATTTGTTATTCCAAATTTAAATGTCAACATTAGCACTTCCCATTTAAAAACTTGGAAAAAACATATCAAAATTTTCTTTCAATAGTTTTAAGAAGGGAATTCTAGAATAGAGTTTTCCTAGTTTTCAACGAACACTGTAGAGTTTTTCCAAAGTCTTTTTGTACACCCCCGAAGTGTTAATGTGATGATAGTTTCCACAAATGTACAATTGCCATAGAGCATGATTAGTTAAGATATTTGGATATAAACAGTTTTAATACATAGTTGATACGATTTATGGAAGATCTATTATTTAATTAATAAATAATCAATTGAATTAAATAATGGTGTTCGTAGATTCAAATCTTAGTAATTTGCTAATCATAAGGAGTTGTGATTGTGAAATACAAATTACATATGATTAAACCTTAAATCATCCGTAGTCGTAAGTAATAACGAGATACGAATATCGTTATTACGGATAGACCATCACGTGTGGTATTTCTTACTTGTGAAGTAAGTAGTTGATCTCACAAGCTAAAATTTGGTGATACTTGAATGAATACATGGATATTTTGTTATAGAGCAAGTCATTGGAGGCCTGCCGAGAGATTTCACATCAATAACTATTTGAGTGTTTAATCTCTAATGTTCAGGAGTGGGATTGGTCCTTTGACTTGAGGTCGTCATAGTGCCTTTATATAAGAATAGTCATGCTTTGGCAGTGTTGGATGTTACTTTGACAATGACCTATAATACATATCCTTCAGGTATGTCCAGAATGGTATGAATATTGTAAATGATCAACAGAGGATTTGTCACTCTTAGATAATAAGAGATTATTATTTGCATTTCATTCAATTAAGTCGATAATGAAATCTTCGGTCAAGGTATGCTCATAAGTCGAAAATGAGTTTTCGACTTATATTGACTTAATAGTGGAATTAAAGATATGGTTAATAATCGAGATTGACACACTTTCATATCTCGTAATTGATTGGATCATATTGATGAAAGAATTATAGTTTTACAGTAAATGAACGAGTTTGATTTTGTTATACCACATAAAATTTCCTGTCACATGTATTGTCCCGACACGTTGCTAGATGTCAATGTAGGATGGCGAACGTGAGTAGGTGATAAATTGAAATTGTGTTTTAATTTATCGATTTTGATTATATCAAAATAGTAATTCACGTCGCTAGGTATCGTGATTGGTAACCTGATGGGTCACACTCAAAAGGAGAACTGGAAAACTGTGTTTTACCAATTAATTAATTTAACAAGCGTTGGATAAATTAATTAATTGGGTTACTTATTTACTGGCCCGAATTAATTAATTGGATGTATTAATTCATAGACTTGATTTAATTAAATGAGTTAATTAAATCTTGGACGGGTTAGGAGATGGGCCAAGCCCGTTTGGGCTTGTATAAATAGGTAGCTAGAGTTTTGGATCTGTAGAGAAAATTTATTATTCTTGTTAGCACACGAAAAAATCCTAGTTGTCACAATTTGTTTTCTCTGTGTGGATTATCATTGGATGTTGGATAATTGAACAGCTGTGCGTAGTAGATCGATGTTGCTAGAACAAAATGAAAAGCAAAAAAAAATTGCAGTTCTCTTCAAAGGTATATTTTCTATTTAAACACAAAGAGATCCTTCATGGGAATTGAAATTTGTTTTTGTTTCCACTGCACATGATTAAATATTTTCCAACACAATGGGCCGCCCCTGATATGACCTTATGCCAATTTCAAATTGGGGCCCTATATTTTGAATCTCTTTGTATAGAGTTTTAGTCCTTGTTTGATGGAGATTAAGTCCTTGTTCGAGCTCCATTTTTTCATCAAAATACATTCATTAATAGTGATTTGACATTATTTCTAAACACATATTTTTCAATAAAATAACATTACATGCAAATCCAAAAAAATTTCTTATTTTTTAACTACATATTCTTTATTGCAATACTATTTCAAATGCATTTTTGAGAAAAATGGGGCTCAAATAACCCATAAAATAAATTTTAAGTGGATGAAATATGTGAATTTAAAGTTGTGAAGTCCAAAAAATATGTGGTTAAAATTCATTGTTGATTTTGACTTAAATTAAAATTTAGATTTTGATCGATACCAAATAGAGGTTTAATATAATTATAAAAATTAAAAAATCTAACACCGACAACTAAGCCCCAAATTTTGAAGAGAAAATTAACAAAATGTTTAATTTTAACCTGCAATACAAATTACAAGTAGAGTTTGACAAACAGAATTATAATGCTATGACAAAGGGGTATGGTTGTTTGTAAGACTATTTTCTCACAGTAACTATTTCAAATAATATTGATTAATTGAACATACATTTGAATGATTTATGTATAAGATTGGAGAATGTTGAT